CTAATTGCTCGTGGCTTCATCATTAACATTGATGACCTCTTATCAACATTTTTCAAAGCAATTAAGATCCTCATTTTTCATAGGAATGACAGTTTTGAAACGTAGGGGAAAAAAATTCACGATGAATGTAATGGCTATGAAAGCTTTGTAAATGGATATATTTATAATATGATTTTTGCACACGGGGTTAAAAAAATTATTCATTTTTCAAAGTGCTATAACGAATTTAAATTGCTATTACTATATTTAAATTATTTAATTTATTATATTTAAAATTACTATAATGACACGGTAATTAATACGGAGTATACAATTATCTAGTCACACAGTTATATAATTAATACCTTGGTTAATTATTACCTTTTTTTATTAAAATTACTATAATTAAAATATAGTAAAATATAGCCATTATAAAACATAGCCACTATAATTAAAATATAGCCATTATAAAATTACTATAATTAAAATTAGTATAATTAATTTGACACGGTAATTAATATACAATTATGTAGTCACACGGTTATATAATTAATACCGTAATCAATTATTACCTTTTTTGATTATTACCTTTCTTGCTAGTATAATTTTAGACACTTTAAAAATGAGAGTTAATTATTAGCTTTCTTGGTTATTACCTTTCTTGCTATTAAACGTAAATATATAAATTTAAATGATACTAGTATCACACCCGTGCGTTGCACGGGTCATTTTTATGTTATTAAATTCAAATTATTTTTCAATGATAAAAATGAGATGCAATAAAATATAGAGATTATATTATTTTAAGGTTAAAAACATCATTGTTTTACAAAATTCGAAAGACTTCTTTATAGACTACATTATTGTACAATTTGTGGGGATATTTATAGTATATTTAATTGTAATAGGCTATAGGCTATTATAATTATAATTATAATAAGAAGGGTTAACTTTTTCGAAATTGGGTGTAATTATTCTTACCATAATTATTTTTTTCGAAACTGGGTGTATAATTGTATAACTTACCATTTTTAATTATTTCCAATTTTCAAAAACTTACTCTTTGCATTTGTATAACTTATCTATATTAAAAACATACGCTTTGGATTTGTATAACTTACCTTTTTATATTACTCACATTAATTATTATAAAAATAATAGCTATTATTATATTTATACCTTTTTTAATAATTTTAAATCCACAATTTCAGCCACTTACCATTTTAACATCACAATTA